CATGTTGAACCTTTTAAAGAATTTGCAAAATAAACCTAAAATCTGCGAATTTTAATTGACCGTCTCTTAAAATATTTTCTAGAATCCGTAGCTGCTAGCTTTTACGGGCTTCTAAAAATAGTTTTTAGTTGTAGCAAGATTAGTGTTTTGACATAATAAATCTTGAACTTTGAAGTTTTTAACATACCATGACAGTTTACCTCCCAATGAAATTTATCAGGTTCAAATCCCAGCAATGGCCTACCCCCTGCTCGCACTGAACACAGTTTTGACGTAGAATATTCTCCCTTGCTGACGGATCATGCTTTAAAATGCCCTTAATGTCGGGCTAACCGTAGAAGGTTCTCCTCACTTTATAAACGCAGAGAAAGAGGACGGTAGACCAAAGAAGCCACACGAAATAAGAAGCTTGGGTGCTATTTCTGGTTGTTCTAAATGGCATTTTAATTTGATTATTAGAAGCTATAAATTTTAGCAGATTTTAAGATGTCGAAGAGCGACATGGAGGAAATGGAAGATCCAGGGGATAAATACTATCCTATTGGGAAGAAACCAGACAGAAGTGGACCAGATCTTAAGTCTTCCTGAGAAAAAACTTATCAAATTGGTAACGCAAAATCAAGGAAAGACTATGAACTTGATTATGGTGTCACAGCTGGCGGCTATTGCTTTTGAATTGAACGATATCATACAACAGAATGAGGTGTTGACGTATACCCAATATCAGCAGAATGATTCTGAAGGAGCCCTGAACGAAATGATTTTATTTTATTTAATTTATAACCGTCGTTGAACTGACGACCCAATTTCGGGTTTACAACTCCCAATGTTGAACTCCGTATTCTTGTAGTTTTGATCCTAATACAAAAGACAAGGGAAAACGTCGAAAACCTTGCAAGGTTAGGCTCACGGCAAGGGTACTCTAACCCAGGATCCGTCCACACTGGGAATATTTTACGTCAGCACTGGGGTCAGTGCGAGCCGGGTTCGGATCTTGTATCGACCAACCATCCCTGTGATTCGAACTTGGTTCACCACTTTGGAAGGATCACGAATCAGGACAAAATGATTAGAAATGAAAGTCATATTTGGAGGTAGTGAAGATGACCATGCATGTTGGAGCACCAAATTTTACTACAGAGTGTGTTCTTGCCGTGAGACCCAGAAGCGAAAATACCACGGACGAGGTCATAAAGACGAAAATTAATCCGATGAAGCGCAGACTAGGATTGAAGAAGATTAAGAAAATTAGAAACAGTGGTGCACTGTTGAAGGTTGAAAAAAAGAGCTTCAGAAAAAAGTGGTTTGAAGAATTCCAAAAAAAAGATCTAAGCACTGATCACGTATGCATGCATCCAAAAAAAGAAACACCCTGAGAATATATTCCAAATGGAAGGATCCGCTTCAGAAGACAAAAAATCCCACCCTAGAGAGAGGTACAAGAAACTATAAAAGGTGCAGTTTGAATTTTTTTTCTCAATTAATAGTCGAAATGGTAAGCACTGGGTCATTGAATTCAATCCAAAGAGTCTTTTAGTGATAAAAAAGAGAGGTTAGCTATATCTCGACTGGAAAGTTTCAAACAGAATACATCCGACCCGTATGGTGTTACCGATGCAATAGAATAATCCACATGGCAAAATACTGCCCACATGATGAAACCAGTGCAAATTGTAGGTCGACAAGGCATCAGAAAGCTATGTCCAAATCCAAGCTGTGTCAATTTCAAGGACGCAAATAATAAATACGGATGAGACATAATATAATCCATTGTCCATCTCACAAGCAAAATGTCCAGCGAACCTGTGGGCCATGGAGAGGATTCAGAAGAGGACACTCTATAGATAACATTGGTCCACCTGTAATTCCATGAGTCCATAGGCATTCTTCAACATAATGTATTTTAAATGTTTTTAACAAATTGAATTTCTGTTATTAGTTTATGATTTTATTAGAGATTCGTTGACCTTCCTGCCAGAGGTGCGCGCGAATGGGGTATTTTGCGTGAGGATTTCCCAGCTATCAATCTGGTTCATTCGGTGGTCAGCAGATGATATGGCACTGCCGCCCTGCGGGTCTTGGGCTGGGAGGATGGGGGACCTTGTGCCTGAGGTCCACAATTGCTTGGTCTCCTTGTTTTGTTGTGGTATTGCTTTCGTTGCGGCAGGGCATTGGAAGTTCGGAGTCTGTGATTTAAAAAAAGCATATATATATGCAACTTTGACTATTCTTTTCATAAAAATGAGGCGAGATTCGTTGATTTTTCTTTCCCACATGTTAGTTGAAACATTTTATCACAAGATTGTATAGATAATTTTTCTAAACAAAGATTCTGTTTTGAGACGAGCTAATTGAAAAAAATTCATATATTGTATTTTTTGAAAGTTTGATAGGCTGTATCTACTAAAAGCATCGATAACTCTTTATTCTTAAAATGGTTTCTTCACAGAACGTGTCCAAATAGTGGTCTTCAATATTCAGTACAAACACTATTTGAGTGCTGTTGTTTAATCGAGATTTTTTCAAGGCGGGAAAGCGACAAAAACTGAATCTTTCACTAATTTTGACAAAGCGTTACTTTGAAAAGCAACAATAGCCAATGGAAACAAGTGCATGTCCATAAATAGGCAACTATTATGGTCATGCAACAAAACTTTATGATGTTGTTTTCTTTAATAATCCAATTTTTTTAACGACCGTACAAGTTAGCAGCTATGCATCTGATAGGCTGAAGCATCTGCAAGAAAACTTAGAGCATCTCTTGTTGTGTTCTTACATTTATAACCTGCCACTAATGTAATCAAAAGGCACTTCATTCCCTGTCATTCTATTGTGTATTATTTTTAAGCGCCCTCTAGTGGCTTCGGATATCATTTGTAATCCCATGTTCCTATGTGATTTTCGTTCCTTGTGGTATGCTTAACTTACTATGTCGTTTTGTGGACGTTTGAGTCACTGTGCATATGATAAATATTGATATTGCATATGTAAATATTTTGAGTTTTTAATTCAAATAGGAAAAGTAATGTTTTTAAATATTGAACGGAACGAGTCAACAAAATCATGGTTCCACTTTTTTTCTTCTATTTTAAACACCACTTAAGCCATGCTTATGTTAGTACAATGTAATTTGTAAAAGATAAATAAGATTCATAGAGTTGTAATAAAAAAAATTTTACTTCACATAAAATATGCGAATAAAAAATAATAGCTACAAATATAAAAGCTTCAAAAATTATGAAATGGCATAATGTACAAATGAAAAAATGTCAAGCGAACGTTATTTACACATAATTAAAATAATAATGACATTTGCTTATTTACAAGATAAATGATAATGCAAGTTCATGATTCAAGGTTTACTTATATTGAAAATGCATAACAAGTTATAAATAACAAACAGTTTGTACCCCAGTTATTTCTTAAGTAATCCTTATATTCGTTTTTTAACCTTTAACACTAATACAAGATATATGTAGGCAGTATTTTTAATTTATCAACTCCTCTATTAAATGCATAGCAATAACTTATTATAAATAGACAGAATAAGTGACAGAATAAAGTTTAAAGAGATAGGGAGAGGCAAACACAAAATAGTTTATAGTCAGAGCTTTTTGCCATGTTGTAGTGTTCTCTGAAACAAATATGTGCTCTGCTGTCTTTCACTTACGAGGAGTTTCATTGATCATTTTGTTATTTATATTCCTCTTATTAATTGTACTTTTTATTTATTCCTTATGAATTTCCTTCAGTTTACCCTTCTGCGCGTAATAATTAGAGAACGTTTTCATATATTTTTAAATTTATTTGCAAATTTATTACAGATGTATATGAACTGAAACAAAATGGCAATTTGCACAGTTGTGTATCGTGGTGGGCAAAATTGCATTAAATCATATTTATCAAATTAAATAAAAATGCATAAATTTAGCAACCTCTAGAAAAAAAATTAATAAGGAGAACAATATCGTTTGAAAATTGCAGGGGATAAATAGCTAACGAAATGGCTAAATTGTTAAATAACCTATACACAGGCATTTATTTTAACTTTTGTAGCTTGTCATTGGTTTAAAAACAGAAACAACTTAAACCCTCAGCACTCCGTGGCGCCATCTACAGTCATCACTCTAATTAAAAATTTTATAGGTACTATAACAATTAGTTACCACATAAGTTTAAAATTATATAAATATATGGTATTAAGTATTTGTAACAATTTAGAACTTATATTAGGTCAAACAGCATTTTAAAGTATTCGGAGTGCGAAGGGTTAAACCTAGCGTCATTCAAAAAAAACGGTGGTTTCGGGTGATAAATTCATATAAAATTAGGCTTAATAATGAAAACATTGTGGAGTAAATAAACAATATGTTGCTGTTAATAGCCGAAATGGGTGGTTGCTGATTTCTACCGATGAATGTTAACAGTCACATAGTCGCTCTGGTATATGGCCGAAACACACTAGTTCTAGTTAAGTGCCACTACCCAGTATGCATTCGCCCGGTATACCCTACATCGATGTTTTTTAAGGTCAATTGCCACCGCCAGATATGCATTTAACAGGTGCTCCGAACAATGATGTTTCTCCCAATCAATCCTCAATAGGTATTAAAATATCGAATAAATGTAATACAGTACAGAACCCGTTATCCGGAAATCAGAAAACCGGAAAACCAAAAAACCGGAACTAAATTCGATAAATTTTCGCGCCATTTTTAAGAAAAAAAATTTTTTTTCCTAATAAGATTTTAGGATTTTTTTTCTTCTTTTTTGAAAAATGTTTACCTTACCATCATTTTGGAAATAATCATTAGTGTATTCCTTCATCGTTTTTTCTTCTTTTTAAGATTATTTCCAAAAAAACATTTTTTTTTGTTGGGTTTAACAATAAACAAACGGCTTTTTGTAGCGATGCAGAAAACCGGAAAAATCAGTTATCCGGAATAGCGATGGTCCCGATAGTTCCGGATAATCGGTTCCCTACTGTAATATCAACGAATAAATTAATGTCAAATCGGATAAAACAAATATTTCGGACATTCATCAAAGCGACTATGTGATTGTTGACATTCAACGGTGAAAGTCGACATTCTCTTGATTTCTGTTATATTCACGGTAACATATATACAAAACAAATGTTGCTAAAGCATATGCAGGGCTGTAGTTCATCGACCCATCAGTCCCTGTGATTTTCAGTTTTTATGGCAGTGTACAGTGATTTTACGTGCGCTGATTAAGTAGATCAGCAAGGATAGTTCTTCAGCTGAACTGATCTTGTAACTTCGTGTTCCGTGTGTTCACAACTATAATGTGTATCACCGCCTAAGAGTTTTGTCTTTGATTGTTGAGTCTTGATGTCGGGATATAGAATTGGATCTTTTTTGTCTGGCTTGCGGATCAAAGCAGACACCTGAATTTGATTTTCACAATCTAATTTTCGTGTAGGATCGCTGAAAATGACTCCTTTCGGAGGTTTCTCCTTACAGCACAAGTGACTGATAACCATGACCATCGTCAAGATAATGACTACTACAATTGTGACTATTGCCACGAAGAATGTATTTCTGGTTGAAAAATAAGAAGGCCAGGTAGCATATGGTTCAGCTGTTGAATAAAATATTGCAATTAGTTATTGTCTTAATAAGGATAGACTATGCAGGGATCATACGTGCAGCAAAAATTGCATCAATTGTTAAGTAATAAAAAGCAAAAATCGATTAAAAGAGACTAAGATTAGCAAATCCAGCTTGACCTCAACGAGAAAAATTTAAAAAGTTGTTGCGAATAAAGAAAAAGCAAATGAAACTTTTGAAGACTTTTATTTTTTCTTAGCGTGTGAAATTAAGTTGGTCAAATTTAGCATCTATGCATATTTGCCAGATAAGGATTTGTAAAAAAAGAAATATTCCAAAGTTAATCTTTTACTATACTAAATTTTTCCCCATTTGTGTTCACCCTGAAATCTTTCGATTATATTTGTTTCAGTTCATTATTAACACTAGGTTTACGGACGTTTCTTATATACCTATTTCTACGAACGCATGTCAATTTGTCGTTTGAAAGAATACATATAATTGTGGTTCTTAATTCAATAAATTCAATTTAGTAGATTTTTATTCACCACTATTTCTAAATAATTCATAGGCTTATATAATTCACTACTTTTTATTTGCAATATTTACTTAGTAGTTATTACGGGTTTTTTTTCTTTCTATTATTGCTTATTGGCAACAGTTGATTATCGCTTGTTTCATTGAGATAACGATAACGGATCGAAGTATTGTCGGTACATTCCTATTTATTATTGATGTGATAATTGCATTTTTACTCAAAATTTTGTCTAAATTATGATCGCGTCAAATTGACGTATATCCGTAGAGATAGGTATACCACATACAGAATTTCAATATTTCAACGCTTTTGAAGAAAACAGACTTCAATATATATTTATCTCGATCAATGGATAAAAATCATTGCAATAGAAAAAATAAAAATTCAAACGGGTTTTGTAATTTTTCTTACAAAACTCGAAATACGTCAAAATGACGGGTCCCGTAAACCTAGTGTTAAAATTGAATGCAAGAGAAATTTTCGTTTTTACTGTATTTCATTTTATTCTATAACTGTCGTTGAACAGCAGACCCAATTTCGGGTTTACGACGTTTAACTCCGTAGACTTGTAATTTTGAACCCAATTCAGAAGACACGGGAACTCTTGGATGAAGTACTGGAAGAAATTTGCCACTGTGAAAGATTTTTTGATGGAACTAGTTCGCATTTGCGATACATGAAGTGGAAAATCACCTACCACGGTAAACCTGACGGCAAGGGGACTCTAACCAATGATTCGTCTACTGTTGGGGATATTTTACGTCAGCACTGCGGTCGGTGCGAGCCTGGAGCAGAATTCGTATCAATCAGCCATCGCTGGGATTCGAACCTGATCATCTCATTGGAAGACGAATGCTCTATCCTCTGAGCCCCCACGGCTCCGTTTTTACTGCATGTCATTAATAGCCCGGTTTAAATATTTTTAAAATTTAATTCTGTGAATTCTAAAAGTCTCCACTCGTCTACTACGTAGGGTATGGTTTAAAATATACGATAATACATTTCAGTTCATAATGTGATACTTTAAGGTCATTTGTTTTTGTCTTAAGTGTTAATTTCAGAGGAGAAGAAAAGTGCATATGTTATGTATATAAACACACACGTTCTTTTTAAATTTGTACATTCGGACAAAAATAAACTAAAAATGCCATTTTGTAAAAGAAATCTGTAGTTTGTCTAAGAAAACTAATACCTGATTTGAAATTCCTTCCCCCGAATTAGATTAGATGAAATACTTGTTTAAATGTAACTAAAGATTTGTTCTCAATTTATTACAGGAAAAGTAAATAAAAATAATATAAATTTCAAGCACTTTTTTTTTTAATTTTTATGCACACTCATCACCACTGACTATTGACACCGAAAGTATCATATATCAATAAAATGTTTTAGAATTCCTCAAAAAATATATTCAAAACCAGAGTGGCCATATTCCATAAAAAAAATTAAAAAGTGTGATCGGTGATTAAAACGGGAGGCAAATTATTTAAACCCTTTGCAGTAGTTCTTTTTGTAGTTAGTTCTAAGTTTGATTCTAGGTATGGGAAGGCAAATTAATTGTGACAAGATTACGGTAATGAAGTAATCTTGATAGAATTTCATTGCCTTCTGAAAAATTAAAATTCAACATTTGAAGCTTCGTGGTTTACTCTAACATTTACGTTAACTAACCATTTCCTGTTAGGGATGCTAGAAAGCACTACCGTAACTTGGAAAACCATAAACGCAAACGAAACGCAGTGAAGCATCTTTTACACGTTGAATTTCTGGCCAAACGGTTAATAACTACAAACTATATTAGCAGATTTTGCTAGTTTTTTAAAAGATTTAACATCTGTGTACCAACTTTTACTCATTTGGCGTAAAATTTTATTTCTATGTTTAAAGTGGTAGTGAAATGTATGCTTTCTATATATTCCTTGCATTTATGAACTTAATTTATAATATTTTTAATTCACCACTATTTTTAAAAAAATTAAGCATATAGACAGAACTTTTAGAAATTTCGTCAAAATTTTAAAAGCCTCACCACGAAAGAGTTGGTATAAAGTGGTGTAACATATGAACTTCTAAATCATTTTTAAGTAGTGGTGTTTGAAATGAGTTTAAATAAATAAAAAAACAATACATTAAAACATTAACTTAGCTATCACTAGAATAAATTTTTTCAAAAAGCGTAGAAAGTTGGCAGCTTTGAGAATGTTATAGTAACACTTAGACTAACCTGCACTGATGACCGTTAGTGTACCATTCATGGCATTGAAACCTTTATCGTTTAGAGCAAGACACACATAGATACCAGAATCTTCTGCAACGGCATTATTAATAATGAGCTTGGACTTATGGACTCCATTGGCTCCAATGCCATCCGATAGGTTGAGGGGTCTGTAGTAATTTTTTCCTGATCTAAATAAGGTGACATCGTCTATTGGTTCTGCATTTTCTTTGATGTTTAACTTCTTCAGCCACTATAAAAAAATTTCCTCATTCGGTATTGCATTTAAAAAAATTTTACTTTTTATTCCTTTTTTAAATATTAAAAACAAAAATAATAGATTAAATAAATTATGAAGGCATATATATTTTATAGTACGAAAAGTATCCCAAGTATGACTAAGTATAAAAAACGAAATCTTAACAGTATAATAAGTTAAAAACCTCAGTGACGTTACTACGTTAAAAAAAAACCTCAATGGCATTACTATGTTAAAAAAATTCACCTCTGTGACACAATGCCAAGTTCAAAGCTATTTTTTATTTTTATTTATTAGTTTTAAATTCGGGCCAATTAAAAGTGCTTACTGCAAACACAAATAAAGTAATACCCCAAAAAAAGTTTTGAGTATAAAGAATATTGTACAGTGTGTAAAACAGAAAATTGACATTCGAATCATTTTTGGTCTGATAGAATCGGATTTTTAAATACTGAGACTCAATATGGCAGTTATTTAGACGCTTGTTAATGACAAATAAATACATACATTTTTTATCATTTATCGACACTGGATTTTTTTCATGATTTCTGTTTTTTGATATCCAAAAGATTTAATGATATATGTATACATAACGTATCACTGTAAACTTTTACGCATTTTGCGTAAAAATTTATATTTATAATTAAAATTGTAGTAAAATGCATGCGTTCTATTTATTTATTTCATTTATAAATAATATTTGAAATGAAATTGACAATCACACTACGTTTAAATAAATTAAACGTTCATATCAATGTAGAATAAGGATCGGACAACTCTGCAACTTCAAACAAACGTAGTTTAGAGCAAGCTGCTCATTTTATTTCTTGATTCCTCTTCAGTTATTCAAGCAAAGTGCTTGAAACATTTATAAAAGCAACTCCACTGCTTGCTTACTTCAATGCTCAAACGAAACAGAGCTGAAATTCCAGATGAATGGGATGGGGGGGGGGGAAACTTCGCGGCCCAGGTGCCCGATAAAATCAAAACACTAGGATTGGGGCTTCTGTGACCAAGCTGTATCGCCAAGTTGTAAACGCTATATAAAGCGTCATGGTAGCGGGTTTGAATCCCGCTGTTACCCTGGAAGTATCATCGTGCTGTCCCTCTATTTGACAAAGGTTTATTTAAGTACCAAAAGTAACCAAGTACCAAAGATAACTAAAGCTTTCAGAATATTTGGTTATTTGGCCAACATTTTAAAAGCCTCTCAACAAAAGAGCTGAAACTAAGTGACGTTGCATAAGTACTCTCAAATTATTCATGTGAAGCGGAGTGGTGGGGAAAATAAGTTTCAATAGTTAAAAAATGATACATTAAAACTTGAACTTAGCTATCACTCGTTTAAATTTCTGCGAAAGTTGGCAGTTTTGAGATAAGTTTGTAATTTGCCTATTATAAATTTTCAATTTTCTATATAAATTTTATTTTGAACCAAGGAGTGGTGAATTATATAAATAAAACTAATATTTCCCGCCTGCAAAGAAGTTGCTTAGAATTTCGTTACAAGTTTTAACATTTAACTCTGATTGAGAAGATTGGTACGTATACATGGCGAAGAATTCTTTGTACATGTTACGTAGGCACGTATGCGTGACAGTCGGTGAGAAAGGGTTAAAATAGCCTCATGAAAAAGTACCTTAATATGCAGTTTCAAGCCAGTTTTACTCTTGACCTTGCACCAAAATATGGCAGTAGATCCTTCCTTGATTGTTGCACTTGTAGGCTCCAAAGACAGGATTTTAGGTGGGTATGACGGTTCTGGAAAGAAAATAATTTCTATAAACACCTGGGATAACATTCTAATTTTATTTTTTATTATAGTAAGCTGATACGATGTATTAAATGAAAATAATAGTCTACAGGGAGATTCAGTACATTAGTTTCTAACATGAGAGGAGAAACCCAAGTCTGAAAAAAAGTGGTGGCAACCCATTCATACTTATTGGAAATAGACTGTATTGGTAAATTTTAACACATTTATTTAATTCATAAACATTTCGATCCACTAAGACCCACAAAGTACATGTAATATGCGCGTTCTTAAAACCAGAGGAATAGAAAGTCCTGTAGTCGATCCCTGATTGATACCAGAAAATTTCTTTCCCCTCCAGGTGTCTAAATTGAGGAAGTGGTCTTACAAATGAGTCGTCGAGCTACCAAAGCAGGGGAGCTATCCCATCTGCAGAGTATTAAAATTGTGATGGTATGTCTTCTGATCATCTTCAGGGATGTTTCCCAGGCCGTAGCCAATTTGGAATATAAGTAAATAACAAAGGAAAAATAAGTATTAATAGAAGAATCTATGCGCAATAAAAATAATTTACAATATTTACAAATATATACAATTAAGAGGGTGACTCCTTGTACACTCCCTCGCCTCCTCCATGTAGCCGGGCATTTGAAATCATTAGAACATTACATTGGAACATATCTCAAATCTAAGTGCACTGCTCAGCGTCATTAACTGATTCGTCGGGTTCTTGAGACATGTAAGAGGGTAATGTGCAAAGGGGGAGAGGGGTTGCCAAGCACCAAATAGTAAAGTCATGAGTGGAAAACCAGTCGGTTAAACATATGATGAAATCGGTAGAACACTAAACATAATTGAGGTTAAATTAGATTAGAATATGAAGGTATTTACTGGGATCAAAATAATATTAACATTTACTCTAGTGTAGTAAAATAGAAAATAATAGAGAAAATGCATGCAACTATTTACGTATTTACACATGATTGAAATTTTAAAAAAAACTGTCAACCTCAAAGTAAAGGTATTATACGCGATATAAAGTCATGCAACTGCCTTGTCTGTCTAAACCTCTGTTTTAGGCGTTATAGAAGTGTTATATTTTTATAAAATGTTTTTAGAAGTAAAGTGGAATTTAGAAATAAAAAGAGGCTTTAAATATCCCATGTCCACTTTGGTCGATGCAAATTTTTATGAGTGAAAAGGACACAAACTCTAAGCATCATTTTTATTAAAACTGAAAAACACCCCATAATTTTAAAAAGTCGTTAGACACAAATTGTTCGAAATTAAAGCCAATTTTCTTTTATCTGGTTGCTGGCCTGCCAACTACTACACTTTTTGCAAAATATTTTATTGAGTCACAGACATTTAAAAACGAAAGCTTTAAAAAATTTTGGTAATGGAGCAATATTTTAAAAGCCTCACCACTAATGAGCTGGAACAAAGTCACTTTGCATATGAACTTTAAATTCATTTATATGCAGTGATGTGAAAAAAAAAGTTCAAAGGAACATAAATTTTTACATACAGCCACGAAAGCTAGTTACCCTGAAAGTAACTGTGTTATTTCTACCATCAAATACCAGTACTTTACAGGCGTGTAAGTACTTTAATTTATTGCTAACATAGGCTGATTTAATTACACTTTATTTACAACTAGACAAATTATAACACATATATTTTACAACTAAAATTGGTAGGTAACACAATTTTTAAATATTATCCGTTACCACGGTCTGAAAATTATTTTTAAAGTGGTAGCAAAAGTGAGATATATTTAGGATATCAATAAAAGAAATGTATATAGGTGCAAAGAAATATATATACGTGCAAAAAATGACCAGGAAATAATTTCATCATTTATAAATACAAGATAAATTTCAGCATATTTAGCAGTCTAGAAAAGTTTTAGCTACTACTTATTTATTTTTTCCCGTTCCACGGATCCCTATTACAATACAATTTTTTTTATTATTATTAAGTAATAAAAAATAATGAATAATTATTGAAAATGATTTTTTACATGGATAAACATGTTTGGATAAACAAATTTTATAATTGTGTGCAACGTTTTCTTTTCCGATTCGCTAATAACGTTTTCGAGATTTGGTGAAATACGCAAAAAATAATATTAAAGGGTTCAAACTTTCGACCGCTGTTCTGACCAAACTATTGGGACCATATTTGCCAGATTGTTGTTACCCCTGATAATCTGCAGATTATAAATCATAATTCGCTATATTAGAAGCGTGTTTATTCAGAGAAAGTACGTTTTCTCTTCTGATTTCGCAACTTGAAATATACTCTGTTGTAATTAATTACCATTATATGATGCAGCATATTACCTTTAAAATTTAGGCCTAGTACGTGAAGCGCTAAAACTCTAAAATAACTTATGGCATTTCCTGTGAGTGGGACATGTGTACCCTTAACTTTAACATACGGTCATTTGTTGCTTGTAATAAAGTGCAAAAATCTACACTATTTACCCGTTACATGCAGCGTGTAATCTATTTCGTCGCTGCCGAACATGTTCCGTGCAATGCACTGATACATTCCGGCGTCGGACATCTTGAGGTTCTGAAGTCGAAGAATGGAATGGGCACCCTGAAATATCAATTCATAATCTGATTCTTCGATTTGCTGACCATCCTTCAACCAAAAGAAGTGCGGTGCCGGCTGTGATGATGCAACGCAATGGAGAGTGGCCTGCTCGTTGACGTCATGAATGAATTTTATAGCTGGTCTTCTCTTGATAACAGGTGGACCTAAAAAAATAAACAGACAGTGTTGCTGCAATGTTTCCAGACCAAGAAACACAACATCTAATTTTGTGTAATGATACTTAGATATGTTACCGAGAACGACCGAAATCAAGAGAATGTCGACTTTCACCGGTGAATGTCAACAATCACATATCGTTTTGGTGAATGTCGAAATATTTNTGCTATATCAGATTTGATATTAATTTATTCGTTGATATTATCATATTTATTCGATATTTTAATATCTGCTGATGATAGATTAGGAGAAATATCTGTGTTGAGAGTACCGGTTAAATGCATACTGGGTAGTGGCACTTGATCTTAAAAAAAACATTGATGTAGGACATACCGGGGCAAGTGGCACTTAACTACACCTAGTATGTATTTAGATAATATAAGATTGTGTGTTATCTTCCTTTTTATCTGGAATTTCCAAGAAATATCTGTATTTCTCCCATAAAAGAAGAAGTAAATTCGACTGAACCATAGCCGAAAGAAATTGCTGAAACATAATTCAGTTCTATATGGTTTTTCTATTTAATTATTCACTCGTAATGGCCACCCTATGAATGGTGGCCACATGCTATCAATGAAGCCATATGTTATCACTAATGGTCACCATATGCTATCAATGAAGTACATATTAGACGAAATTATTTTTTGCATTCACTTTCAATCATAAAACTTTAGCTGCTGCTAATTTCAATCTCCCCTAATAGATTCTTGGTTTTATTGGCCACAATTTTTTAAAATTTGTAGGCTCTTATATTATCCTTAAAATATGTATATTACCTTGATAAATGATTTACCAGAACCAGGTCTCAAAATTGTCCTTAGGTTCCTTATATTTCCTTCAAATAAAGAAAGTGCCCTTAAATGTAATTAATTGTTAAAAATGAGAATAAATGTCCTGAAATTTTTGTATTTTTCAAATTTTTGTTGAAGTTAACATTAAGAATAAGTATTATTTATCTGAATTCAGAAATTTTGTTAGATGCCCTGAAACAAAGTATATAACAAAATGAACGTTTAAGTCTTCATAGCGTGTCAAGTATGGTATTAGTTTACATCCATTGTTAGAGACCCTTGACTTAATAGTATAGAATGTTTCCATGTTTAAGAAATATATAAAAAGCTCTTATCTCCCTACTCTTCCTCAAACACTATATCATACTCTACTGATTTTCAAGAGGAAATCTTCGTATTTTGCTACTACTGAACAATTTTCTGTATTTATACTATTTTTTCCCACTTTTTTATATGTATATTTATATATATAAAGAAGCAAGACATTTTTGCTTAACTTCTTTTTTTTTAAAAATCTGGGTTTTCTTAAAAATGTTTCTATTTTTGCTTAGCGACCTTCTAAAACTATAACTAATTGTATATCTGTGAATCCATGTTGGCATTCTAGATATTGCTCCCATTAGAAAATCAGCATCCTTAAATAGTCATTAAATTTGGAAGCAATTTAGTCCTTTAATTTTTATATTAAGGACTTCCATCCCTGATGGACATAAAAAAGTTTTTGTCATGTGTTGTAGTCAAAATAGTAAAATTAAAATTTATAATATTGTTACTCACTGCCTTGTATTTTGCTAGCAATATTTGATGTTCCATTTGCCACCTCTGGATCTGAAATTAAAACAATACAATTTTTTATCAAATACCATAACTACCAATTCACCCATATAATAAAATTAATATATTATAACAATTCATTCACTATTAATCCATAAAAGTGCTGTAAGGCCTCAAATGCCCAGTCCCATAACAACGAACGAACGATATTAACCCATAGCTAATAAAACATATTAGTTAACATACATCAATTAAACCGATATTAACGCATAGCTAATTAAACTTATTAATTTATATAATATACCAGTTCAACTGATATTAACGCACAGCTAATAAAACATATTAATTAATACACTATACCAATTAAACCGATAATAACCCATAGCTGATAAAACATATTAATCAGTATACAATACCAATTCTACCGATATTAACCCATAGCTAATAAAAAAAATATTAATCATTATATTATACCAATTCAACCATTATTAGCGCAAAGTAAACCAGTTAATGCGTTTAAAAATTTTTGAAACTATCAAACATTACCATATTTTCATTATAAAATATTTACAGCTGTATTCAGTACTTAAATCTGATACAATATTTACATATTGCGGAGAAAATTTTAGAAATATACATTTATATAAAAAGACAAATCTGACATTTATATAAAAAGACAAATATGTCAGTGATCATGTAATTAAGTTGTAAAAAAATTTTGTAAAAATTCTGATAAACTCAAAATTTTCTGCTTTCGTTTCTAACCAATGGAAAACAATATTATGAAAGAGCATCAGAAAGTATATGAATTTAGGTGCTGTAGTATTCAGTATTTTAACAGCAAAATACTCACCATCCACAATAACTGTTATGTTCACTTGTACAAATCCATATCCATTGACACATTCACAAGTATATATACCACTGTGTTCCTTAGAAACAGATTTGATTTTGAGGTTTCCTTTTTTCGTCACAGTGTAGCCACTTTCGTCAAACAGTGACAGGTCTCTTCTAAACCAGTCAAAAAACAAAGGCTCCGAAGCTTCGCTAATGTCAATTGGACACTTAATTTCAAGGTTTTTCTTGAAATGGGCAAATATTATCTTCTTATCATTGCTGATATCTATTTTCCTGGGAGGACCTGCAAAATTAACGCATTTTATGATTCCATTATTGTGGGTAAATAAGTTTTTTCATCATATATATGTTATGAAATTAAATACTATTCGAGTAATAATATTAATTCAGGAAGAAAATGAAAAACGCTGTAATCCCGAAAGGAGAAACTGTTCTGGATATTCAAAAAGGAAAAATTCCGTTTCTTGGTAATCCTTAAGAGCACATTAGTACAGTAATAAAATTAATCAAGAGGAAATTAGTTACTTACATTTTAAAGAGTTGACATTGGAATCAAAAGAGTGAAATTAAAAGCTCCTTAATTGCCAAAAATCAGATGGGGGTTTTTTTGTTGCCTGCCAGCTACTACGCTTTTTGCAAACTATTTTATAGAGTGGTTGATATTTAAAAACCAAAGCTTTCAGAATGTTTCGTAATTTTGCCATCATTTTAATCGCACGAAAAATTAAAAGTATTAAAGTAGCTTTGCATATAAACTTTTGAATCATATGTATGTAGTGGTGTAGAAAATAAGGTTAAATTAATACAAAATAATACTTCAAGAACTAACGTTACTACTAATAGAATAATTTTTACAATAAGCGTAGAAAGTTAGCAGCCCTGTGTTTACATATACAGACCTGCCAACATTTAATCCCTTCCATTATCATTTTTCCCAGTGGTATTAAAACTTCAATTTTAAGCAAACAAATACGTTGTATTTGAAAAAAATTAAGTTGATAACCATGACTAACTAACTAACTAATCAACTTTTTTCAGAGTACCTATCCATGTATGGATATCTGCTCTTTCATCTAAATTGGATAATATGTGGTGGAAGGGAAGGGAGGTGCTGCGTTAACATTAAGTTAAATCTCAGAATGAACAATAATTGATAAAATTAAGTCTGAGTCATACATAATAATAAGTCGCAAGTTGATACATAATATAGGGAACAAAATGAAGATAAAGATAAAGAAAGAATATTTACACTATTTACAAATTTACAAAAGGGGGAAGACTCCCTGTGCACTCTCTCGCCTTTCACCGGTATAACCGGGCTTGATAACCATGATAGTAACGCATATTATTATAAGTGCTTAATTTTTGTAAGAATAGTGGTGATCAAAATCATTTAAAAATTAAATTTATAAAAGAAAAAAATAGTATATATTTACTACCACTTTAAATATGAAAATAAAATCTCGGGCAAAATCCGGGAGAGTTGGCAGGTATGCATATATATAACAGGCAGGCCACGTGAATAAACTTTCCCAACAAATGTAGAAAGTTAGCAGTTCTTTACATGCTAAGCTAAGTTTGAACAGAAAGTTTATTTCGATGCAGAAAGTTCAGAATTGTTAAATAGTAAATTTTGCTTCGTAAATTTTTCGTGCTAGCGTCCATAAAAAGTTCATCATTAAAAGAACATGGAATGCAAATTGTTATACTGTGAAAATGCTTAAGTATTCATCCAATCTAGGTATAGCATCTTCCTAAGCTAATGGGTTTACTTCCTGTAGGTATTTACACATTTATTTGTTTTATTAACTTAATTAAGAAATCTCACAGTTGACTAATTTATAGTTACACAAAAATGCATTAACGAACCTTCAGCTGAAACCTTCCCAGAATTCGTGTTCGCATACAAAAACAACAAAATCAGAACCTGTTGTTTATGGATTGTAGTCCTAGAGAAAATCATGCTGTTCTACTTTTATGAACCTATAAAACACACAGTCCATACTTTAAATGCATATTTCAAAGTAATTTAAAAGAATACAAAAAAAAAACTCAATACACTCAAAACACGCAAAACGAATATGTAATAAAGTACTCATCACTGAAATACAATATCGTAAATAGTGGATATAGTAACATTTAGAATATAATTCTCATCACTGAATGTGGCAAATAGAGAATATAGTAGAATATATAATACTGCACTAATCACTGAAATAGAATGTGGTAAATATAGAAGAATAATATAGTATTTATCACTGAAATTGAATATGGTAAATAAGGAATATAGTAGAATACATAATATAGTACTCATCACTGAATTAGAATATGGTAAATAGAGAATATAGTATAATATATAATATAGTACTCATCACTGAAATAGAACATGGTAAATAAATAATATAGTAGAATATATAAAACAGTACTCCTCAATGAAATAGAATATGGTAAATAGGGAATATAGTCGAATATATATAATACTGTACTCATTACTGAAATAGAATATGGTAAAAAAGGAATATAATGGAAGATATATCGAACTCATCACTGAAATAGAAAATGGTAAATAAAAAATATAGCAGAATAAATAAACTAGTACTTAACACTGAGAATATTGTAAATTGAGAATCTAGTAGAATATAAAATATAATACCCATCACTGAAATAGAATACGATAAATTATAGTATGTATATACAGTAAATAAAGAATATAGTAGAATATATAAAGTAGTACTCCTCACTGAAATATAATATGATACGCAGAGGATATAGTAAAATATATGTAATATAGTACTCATCACTGATGCAGAATATGATAATTAGAGAATATAATAGAATTTATATTATAGTACTCATAACTAAAAAATATAGCAAAAATGATAGCATGAAACATAAAAAGCGTGTCTTAAAAAGCGTCTTGACTAAAACTATCTGTGTCTTGTGTTTTTTTCTTACAACCTGAAGCTATTATGTTAACCACTAGTGTGATTCATTGTTTCCTTGTCTATTCTGAATTTCGTGTCGTTTTTACTATTCTTAGTGTAAATGTAACATAAATAGCTCTTAACGATACCATAATGGTTAATGTTAGCTTTCAAGGATCCGATTTACTTCGTATGATTTAATACACTGCTAAAAACTATAAAAAGATATTGAGGTTGTTAGTTGAATTAAAGGATAATGAGGTTGTGGGTTGCACCTAGAGAAATGTTTGAATGATTGATAAATTATCGACAGACGTAGTAGGCTATATGAGATAAAAAAATGACATTTTTTTGACAGAAAAAAATTTGTTAAATTGGGCATTTGGGAAAAAAAGGAAAAAATACACAATTTGTGCATAAGAGAAAAACACACAAAAGAAAAGGTGTTCCCTTTAAAGAAAATCGTTTTTAGTAGAGGGTAGGTTTCTTCGGTTTGCCAACAACGCTGAACACCTTAAAGGCATCTAGTCAATGAGTTCATAAATTATTCTTTCCCACTCCTGCAGAAGAGTTCTTTCCAGTTCTTGGAGAGTTTGTGCGGATGGTGGTAGGCGTCCAACAATTCATCTGCCTAGAATGTCCTAAACATGCTCGATTGGATTCAAGTAAGGAGAATACGCTGGAAAATCCAATCGAATGATTCTTTCCTCCTAAAGAAAATCATTCACCAAGTTAGCACGACATGGTCTGGAATTGTCGTCCATTAACGTGAAGTTATCTCCATATGCTGAAGCTTAAGGGGCTGCAATAGGTTTCTGAATCTCAATCCTATATCGGTGACCGGTCAGAGCTCCATTTCGAATTATATAGAGATCTGCGCGTCCATCGGTGGAGGTGCCAGCAGAGACCATCACTCTCCCACCGCTAAATCTGACACTTTCGTGCACGAACGCAGAATTGTTTCTAGCGTCACGTTTCCTCCAGATGAAAATTCCTCTATTAGTATCAGGATGAACACAAAAACGGGACTCGACAGTGAAAAGAAATATTGAGCCATTCATTTCTCCTCCAGTCCATATGCTTTTTGTCTACTCCCTGCGACCGCGACGATGCCCTGCTGTTAACGTGACACACACTATAGGTCGGCAAGCATACAGACCTACAGCGTGAAAGCGGTTTCGGACAGTTTGCGTTGAAACTGTGGTGCCAGTAGCCGAGCGAAGATGATGATGAAAAAATGGCATTCATATTTCTGCGTCTCCGAGTCGTTAGCGTTAAATAACGGTCGTCATTGGGCGCTGTTGCAAATCTACGCCCTTGCCCTGATCTTCATTCCCGATCTCCAAAGAAACTGTTCCAGATCCTGCAAATCACACTTTGTAAAGCTTTTAATAGCTTCTGCTACTTTAGCTTGTGTTTGCCCCCCCCCTAACCGGGCAACACCTTTCCAAGCATCTGATTCGGTTAAATGACTTCGTTGAGGCATCGCACTTATCGAAACAACTCGGTTACTGAATGTCCATCATTCTGTAACGCTTTTTCTTACATTAAGTTGAAAGCCAAATTAAATTCGATTGCCGCTGAAGCGTCATCTTCGACTTAAAATTTACATACTGTAAAGTATGAAAATAAGAATAATTTGCATTTGTTAATTTGTAAATAATTGCAAACTCTTATTCCATTTCATACAAAAAAAATTTGCTTATACTGTTATTTTGCACCAGACTTACAATATCCGTTTTGAGCAGTGTATGCTCGAATACTTTCATACGCAAACAATATACATAAAAGTAAGAAAGTTTTTGTAATTTTACTTATATTATAACAAAAAGACTTCAGTCACCACTATTTATGACGTTAAAAATTATAAGAATGACACTTGTGTCAGACTATTAACATAGCTTCGAAAACTCGCGATCGCAGTTCTAGTAGCAGGGAGCCAAGCCTAAGCTTACCCCTAGTTCTCAAAGTAAAGTAATTAGCGAAACTGATCTACGAATCGTAGAAAAATACCCATTCGCTACGTTTCGTGGACAAATTTCTTCAAAATTTATACTTTAATATTTGATTCTTGGTATAGTAATCTTAATTTAGTAAATTTGATTAAACTGTTCACCGAATTCTATCCCTGATAAAATTCTGGTAGAGGACTTGTATAGCGTAACTACCACTACGATTATGAAAAATCAATTCACTTGGATATAAAGACATGCTAACGCGCTTTTTTACAGGTACCTTTTTATAAATGAGGGTTGACATTTTCGTTAACACACTCCCTGCACTCTATATCCGTTAAGCCTAATTTTGCCAAAAAATCAGACATTCAATGCGTATAGTTTGTCTAAAATAAGAACTTCCCCAAAATTCGACTAGAACTGTGGCGGTGACCATGGTAATGTGGTACGACTATTTAAGTAGGGGTTACTGTTTTGGAATGGTTTCGGCTCAGGTCGGCGAGAGAAAGGGAATCTCTTTCTTCGGTCTATTGTGTTAGTCCTAGAGTGAAGCTACCCTCTCTAAAATGAGACATTCTTGTTTCCATAGCACCTGACGGCTTTAGACTTTGTGGCGGGAGGAGTTCTTAGCTTAAACAAACTATAGTAGATTTATAAAACGTAATTTTAACAATGCACTAAACCACAGAATGTTACTTCGTTTAAACATATAGTATATATATGAAAAAACCATATTAAAAAATTGGATTGTTTGTTGGGTATGGTAACTACGGTAGAATACATGGTATGGTTGTGTTGTAACTCTATATGCAGCCATCTTTATGAGTAGAGTTTCAGGTTGTCCATATCTAATTTGAAGAGTAACACACAATGAAAAATACAGAAAATTGGTTAACTTATGTGTTCTCTCAAATGTTTTGCGACAGCAAAATTTAAGTTATTGGGCTGAATTTAATATATTTCGGATGCTAAAACCATTGAACAAACGTTAAAACTAAAGTTTGTTTAGTTCAAAAGTTCTGTTCAATTTTACATGTTTTCAAGTTTTTATTGATTTCAAGTACGATGCGCTAACGGAAGATAATAAGCAATTTAAAAAAAAAATTTATGTCGCTTTTATTTTTATCACAAGAGGCAACCGTAAGGCGTACTGAAATTCACAAATTCATTTTTTCGTTCTACTCTAGCATGCAGATTTGTGTACTTATTACAACGATGGCTCATAAAACCTTGTCAAATTGCAGAACAGATTTCACAAATCGGCGAAGGACGTCGTCAAATGCATCCAGGTTATAGCGGGTTGGTAAGGTAACCAACAGGCCGCAGATGGACCAGGACTCAATTTTTGTAACCATTAGAAAAAACTATAAACTTTAGCAAACTTGATAATTTGTAGTGTTGTTCACTACACTAAATTTATAAACCCCAATCCTTTACTTTCAAATAAAAATTAAGTTATCTAAATTTATCCTTCAGAGAGAAGCAAGTGGGAACTTATCCCTTAACCTCTTCGGGACGGGCAAGTCATATATGAATACGAATCAATATTAAAATAAAAAATCGGTAGCTTAAGTTTAGGCATAGCTAATTTGACAGACTTGTTTTTGCTCTTACTTTAAATCTAACACATCCACTCTTAGCATATTAAAAGTGTTAAACTATAAAATTTTTTAATTCGAACTACGCAGTAGTGAATTAAATAAAGTAAACTATTATTACCCCGGACACAAATAAACTGCTTAAAAAAATAGTTTGGCTACCAGTTTTATCTTTTTTCATCCTGATTTTCAACTCTCTGAGAATGCATACATGACTTGCTCGTCACGAATAGGTTAATCGCTTAAGGCTACTCTTCGAATAATGGGATGTTCGTCATAGAAAATAAAGTTTCTTATCAAATGATAAACCACTATTATAACAGTTGTTATTTCGTAACATTTATTCATGGCTCTTATGTTTTGTAATCACTGGTCAGCTCCCTCTTTGCTGATTGAGAAAATGGTGCAAATTTATGCGCAATTTCGAATGAAAAATGTTTTTGACTTAATTATTTGAAATTGCCAACACAAGGGAGCTTAGGCTCCTTAAAATTAGATGAATTACTATGTTGTATGGTTGCTGGGAAAATTTCTGTAATAACTTTATTTTATTTTATTTTTACGTTTAATATTACTTTTCTTAATTTTCAAGTATCGTACGTATAATGTATGTGAAATAAAACGGTGAACACAAATGCTAATTTGCCATGATGCGCCATTTTACTAATATCATCCATTAAAAGCTTAAACTTGTCAGTTGGGAGCAGAGTCCTTATTTAGCCTAGAAAATTTTAATAGTGCTAGTTTTCTTTTATTTATGGCTCATGGGATAGAGCCTAGTGATGTGAACCGGGTTCGAATCCCTGCTGTTGTTGATAGATACGAATTCCGCATCTGCCTTGCACCAACCAGAGGGCTGACGTAAAATATCCTGTGTGATTAACCTTCGCTGATTTTCGTGGTTTTCCTCTCCATGTTACGCAAATGCGGTTTAGTTCCATCAAAAATTCCTCTACGAAGGCAAATTTCTCCCAATACTTAATCTAAGAGTTCCCTTGTCTTCTGGATTGAGTTCAAAATTTCAGAGCTACGGAGTTGAACATTAATAGTCGTAAACCCAAAACATTGGGTCGCTTGTTCAACGACGGTTACAAAATAAAATATTAAACAGTGCTCGTTGTTGTTGTTGTTGTTGTTAATTTACGTCGCACTAGAGCTGCACAGTGGGCTATTGGCGACGGTCTGGGAAACATCCCGGAGGATGATCCGAAGACATGCCATCACGATTTTGATCCTCTGCGGAGGGAATGGCGCCCCCGCTTCGGTAGCCCGATGACCTGCGCGCGAAATCGAGCACTTTACTGTAGCACAGATTAACGAGGACACATACCGCACACCCTCGGTCCCTACGCAAACTGATCCAAGTGGTCACCCACCCGCACACTGACCGCAGCCAGTGATGCTTGACTTCGGTGATCTGCTGGGAACCGTGTCTTAACGATCAGTCCGCTGCGGGACTAAACAGTGCTGGTTAAAGCCGAAGTGGCTCATGGGATACATCGTTCGCTTCGAGGTGACCCAGGTTTGGATCCTAGTATTGACCTGATTAATACGAATTCTGCTTCCATCTAGCCTCGACCACAGAACTGACGTAATATATCCTCGTTGGTTGACGGATCATGGGCTAGAATGTTCTTGACGTCTGGTTAACCGTGGTAGGTTTTCATGTTTTTCCTTTCCATGTAACGCAAATCCATTCGGATTAGTTCCATCAAAAAAGTCCTCCACGAAGACTAGTTTGTTCCTATACTTGATGTAGGAGTTTCTTTCCTGGGTTAGGGACAAAATGACAAGGCTACGGAGTTGTCATTGATAGTCGTTGGCTGTTCAACGCCGATAAATAAAACAGTGATAGTCAAATTTACATTAATGCAAGAAGAAAATACAAATTGAAAGCAGGGCTGAAAGCTTATACTTGTCAAGGCGGACAATAGCAAAACCTGAAAAGTTCTTATTATCATTTATTATTAAGAAAATTAAAATAGTTTTGACTACCAAGATTTTTTTAACGACTTTAATAACCGTGCAACACTGATTTTACGAACAATTAAACAGTTATGGTTAGCTAAGAATTAATAAAAAAAAAGCTTTTTGTACTCCTCACAAAATCCAGCTATTAATAAAATGATTTCGTTACCAGATTTTCCTCTTTTTTTTCTTACTTTCAGTCCAACCTTACAGTTCAGACATCTGGTAGGGCAAAACTTTAATACAGATATATTTGGCCGATATGGTTGGCTTTGAAAAAATATTTTTTTTACTGATTAAGAAACTTACGTTATATTTTAACCGGTTAACGCCCAGCGTCATATATTTAGGACAGTTCCTTTTTTCAAAGACATTCATTGCGGTGGGAATCTTTTTTCAGCATTTTCATTTATCTGGGTGAATTAAAAGATTCTCAGATACCAGAATGATTTAGTTATTTCTGATTAGATCTAGAATTATAAGGAGCAAGTACCTTTTGATCTATCAATGACTTTTTGAATGCCCTAACAATAGGAAAACCAATTAATTTCGATAATATATTATACCACCAGTGTTTTCACTACAGCGCGAGAACGCGAGAATCTCGCATATTTTTTTCTTTTCTCGCATTAAAAAATGATTACCGCGAGAAATGCGCGCACTCTATAAATCAATTTCAAAATTCGCGAAATTCTCGCACTTTGGAAAAANGATTAGATCTAGAATTATAAGGAGCAAGTACCTTTTGATCTATCAATGACTTTTTGAATGCCCTAACAGTAGGAAAATCAATTAATTTCGATAATATATTATACCACTTTTTCCATAAAACCACTTTTTGTATCATTTCAATATATAAATTCGGGACAAAACGGGTTAAGCTTAGTTTTTTCCATTTTAAGTAATATGAAGTTAATAAGTGTCATGCGAAATATAATTTTATTACAGTCACATCGTAGTGACATTTTTAAAAGGTTGGTGTAATTACCCTTATTCTACAAATTTTGGTATTTAATTGGTACCATTTCATTAAAACTTTGGCAGAAAGTGGAGCAGTAGGCATCCTGGCTTCTGAATTAAACCTTCTGAAATTATGTCTTCTGAAAATAATTTTTATTTTAATCTTGTCCCTAAACGAAAAACCTAAGGAAGAAACTTAATTTCAGTCAACTCTACTCGGCTTCACATCCTGCTTGCTGTCATTTTCTCTCCCTTACAACTAATTTGAATTCTGTCTCTATATTACTGTATTACGCACGAGATTACGAGTGGCACTCAAAACCAAAGATCTCAACAATCAAGGAATTAACAAGAAACTCAAATGATGTTTTGCTGTTGTAACTTCTTAAAATGTATTCATATCTCAAGAAAAAAACAATAATGATTTATGGCCACTAAATTTACCAATGGTTTTCAATTCTATGAAGCAGATAAAAAAAAAATAATAACACTCCAAAAAACCATATACTTTTGCACTTAAAATTCTTAAATCAGAGAAGCATTAAAAAAAATGCGCCAATAAAAACTTACCTTTGCTGTCTTTTTTAAATATGATTTATGACAAGGGGATAATCAAATTCCGCGTAACATGTTCTCTGGATAATCATTTACCGCCTATCATAGTAGATTGCAACTTATCTTGAAGGAGGCGCGTGTTATCATTTGGGGCAAAGTGTATTTACCTGAGAAATAGCGATATTGTGTTCCGACCGTATTTGCAGCGGCTACCATTTTAGAACATAAATAAATATTGATAACATGCTATCGTGCGCATCATAGACTTCGGAAAAGTCTAGTGCAAAATTCCGACAGCTCCGCCATTTCGAGATAGTGGTTTTTCTCACAGTTTTCAATTTAGAAAGAACTGTACTTCGAGAACAAGTAAAGTTAGCAACCTTTTGCAACTCTGAGAGCTTATTATTTTAACACGTTGAATGCCATTGTGGTCACCGGTGACCGGCACTGAGTTTGTACGTAGCGCCACGGGGGTCACGCCAAGATTATTAGATTCACACATAATTCCAGTATATTTTTAATTTTTTTCCTAATATTATTATCGTTACTAAAATGGTTTGAAGAAATTAATGCAATATAAAACACACAAAGATAGTTTTATTTATATACACAGAGGTGCCAACTTGCTCCGGACAGCGAATAAATATTTTCAAAGGTAGTTTATTATTTGTGATTCTTGGTTTAATAAATTCAATTTAGTAGATTTTTATCCACCACTATTTCTAAACAATTCGCAGTATTATATAATTCACCACTTTTTTTTCGTTATGCTAAACATTTTAAAAAACTAGCAAAATCTGTCTAACATTTGAATGTTTAGTTTGTAGCTATGCAGAGTTGCCAACTTGCTCCGGACAGCAAATATATAATTTAAAGTGGTAGTTTATCAATTGTAATTCTTGGTTTAATAAATTTACTTTAGTAGATTTTTTATCCACCACTATTTCTAAATAATTTGCAGGCTTATATAATTTACCACTTTATAGTTCTTACGTCATGCTATACATTTTAGAAAGCAAGCAAAAATAGTCAAATAATTGCAAAATTTACTTTGTAGTTATTTACCGTTTTTTTAATTATTTTGGCGTGTCCGGAGAAGTTGGCATCTCTGGCTATGTACTGTTTGGCCAGACGGGCAATCCTAGCTTGGCATTCAACGTGTTAATAAATGTATAGCTGCCAACTCTTACGGTTTTCCCGGAAGATTTTATTTCCATATTTAACATGGTAGTGAAGCTCATGTTATTCTACTACGCTTTTTGCAAAACATTTTACAGAGTGATGAGAATTTAAAAGACAAAACTTATAATATTTTTGGTAATATTGCTAACATTTCTAAAGCCTCACTACGAATGAGTCGGTATGTTGTGGCGTTGATAATGAATTTTTAAATCATTTATATGTAGTGGTGTGGAAAATTAGTTCAAACGACTAAAAAATAATACTTAGGGGAGAGGGGGGCGCATGTGAACAGGGGGTACATGTGAACATGGTATGTTTTACCAATATGATTTGAAATAAAAAATCTCGAAAAATGTTCAATTGATGGCAGTACTAGTTCTACCTCTCTGCAAAACTTTCAGAACAATGAGACATTTTGTTTTGTTCTATTCTGACAATTTCTTTGTATCAGCTGGTGTTGTATATATTATAATCATTCGCTTCTTCAAGTGACATCATAGTATAAATCAACTAATAAACTAAAATTAACTATTGCAGACCATTATATGAACATTCAGGTAATTTTATGAGAAAAATTTTTTTCTCGCTCAATTAAACATTCTCAATTTTTCAAGTTAGATTTAAGAAGGATGATGGGGCACTTGTGAACAAAACATCTGGGGCAGATGTGAACAGTTCACATGTGCCCCTACATAGCATTAAGATTATTATCCTCATAATATTATAAGTTTAAAAAATATGCATGCATTTAAAGTTAATATTATTTAATTTTCCATAATTAATTTATAAATTTTTTTCTTTAAAAACTTTTTTTATTTATTAAATGGTTGCTCTCGCATCACGCTTATTAACTGATACACTTAAGAAAGAATTGTTAAAGCTACAAATAAAAAGATAGAAAAAATGAAAAAAAATCATGACAGAGTATTAGAGAAGAAAGAAAAGGCCCATTACAACTCCTGTGGAACATGAAGTTGCGAAAATCCCAACAGCGTAAAAATTATTGTACAGCTGAAAAAATATTTCCTTATTGACAGTACTGTTGTACAATTTAAATTCACATAGCAAGTTACAACCCCTTCAGTATAATGCGTATCTATATCTGTTATATTAAAGATTTTTTTTCTTTAAAATATGATGATTGCTTTGTGTTCTTAAACTTGTTCATATGTGCCCCAGGCATGTTCACATGTGCCCCAATAGGGGCACATGTGAACATGCGTAACATGTAATATGTGAACATGTAATAACTTCGAATCAGAAAAGGAGAGATGGTAATGATAGTCAATAAAGATAAATTTAACCTCTTTGCACTCGAATGCATACCTGCCAACTCTTCCGGATTTTCCGGAAGATTTTATTTTCATATTTAAAGTGGTAGCAATACTCAGGTTATTCCAATTAACTTTTTGAATTATAATGATAATTATAAACGAGTTTGACCACCACTACATATAAATAATTACAATAAATATATGAAAGCATAATAATCATTGCGCAAGCGAATTTCAGCGGGATCAAAGTATAAATATAATTTTGAGTCAGATTGCTTTTCGTTTATTGTTTTACAACCACTCTGAAAATCCATTATCGGAAAGAGTGAAAGTTGGCAGGTATGCGAATGTCACCACTAAGGCCTCCACTCTAAAATTAAAAATATAGTATTTAAGTTTTTTGTAACCCACTGATTTTTACCTACAGAAAATACGTTAGAATTTTCTGGTATGTAATTCTGATTGAATTAGTGCTTACGTTATGTCAAACAGCATTTCAAAGTACTCAGAGTGCAATAGGTTATAATTAAATTTTCTTATTTTTTCTGCGATTTTAGTTTCGAAAATTCATAATAAGTTGTTGTTTTTTTTACAATAAACAATGTGCTATCGTCGAGAAATATTTTCATCAAAAATATGCATAATAATATGCCACCACTATATGCTAATTTTGCTACCACTTAATGTGTTTTATCGACACAAACTGTAAGGAAGAATTCTGCAACGTGCTGGCGTAGAATAACCAATGATAGTATTAAAAATTAGTAGACGATTAAAAACTAAAGCTTTCAGAGTTTTGACAATATTTTAAAGGTTTCACAATAAGAGACAGAAGTTAAGCAGGCGTATTATAAACTTTTGAAACAATTGCATACAGTGGTGTGGAAAATAAATATAAATTAAATTTACCTCTAGACACCACTAGAAGAAATTTTTCCAAAAATGTAGAAAGTTGGCAACCGTGTATATTTAACATCCTCCAACGACCACGGAATTTCCAATTTCAAAAGTTTATTTTTAACAAAATAAAAAATGTATTAATAGTTTAATTGAGTCGTGATGGCTCAGGGGGTAGATAGTTCGTCTTCCAATAAGGTTAAGCGGGTTCGAATGATAGCGATGGCTCGTCGATATGAATTCCGCATCCGGTCTGCACCGACCACAGTGCTGAGTTAAAATATCTTCAGCGGTAGACGAATCATGGGTTAGAGTCCGCTTGCCGTCATGGGTGAAAACGAGACGGAAAATAGGAAAAGCTGGTAGTAATCCCATTTCAGATTTAACATGTTTTCGGTAGGAGTTAAATTATTCTCTTTGTCAATTATTCAGCTATATCTACAGAGATGCCAACTGCTCCGGACAAGCCGAAATAATTAAAAGAACGGTAAATACTGCAAAGTAAATTTTGCAAACTTTTAACTATTTTTGCTTGTTTTTTATAAGGTATAGCATGACATAATTACTTCAAAGTGGTGAATTGTATAAGCCTATAAAGTATTTAGAAATAGTGGTGGATAAAAATCTACTAAATTGAATTTATTAAACCAAGAATCACAATAAACTACCACTTTAAACTATATATTTCCTGTCCGGAGCAAGTTGGCATCTCTGTATCTACTTCTCTATAAAGAAGGAAGCTGTTTTTTTATATATGCTAAAATTGTAAAAAAAAATTACGGTAGTTACAGAAATTTAATGTTTCTTGAAAAAAATGCTACAATGAAGTGCCTTTCGTACCAGTTTTTGCTCTTTTCCGTCTCGTTATATATATATATAGGCTTTCAGCCTTGCTTGCCGTCAGTCTAAACGTGGGAGGTTTTCATGGTTTTCCTTTCTATGCAAGGCAAATGCGGGTAAGTTTCAGCGAGTTTCTCCCAATACTTCATCCAGGAGTTCCCATGTCTTCTAGATTAGGTTCGAAATTACAAAGCTACGGAGTTAACCATAAGCGGAGATGCCAACTGCTCCGCTTTCTTGAATAGTTTAAATAAAGTGGTAGCAGATTATATAGTAAAATTCGTTCAAGAAAGATAGTTACCCCTAGTTCTTAATATAGTAACCAGTAGATTTAAGCTTAACCCCTTGGGGACGGGTGATTCAGAAAAGCATTCGTACAAAATCAGAATCAAGTTGCAATTAAATAAAACCAGACTTAAAAGCCANTTTTATCTTCTTACCCTGATTGATACGGTTTTTTGCTGTCACGTATTTGTGACAGTCGGCGCGAAAGGGTTAAACGTCGTATTTTATATCATACTTATAATTTTTGATATTTAGTGGCGAAAAAATTACTTAAAATGAAAAATACTAAACTAAAAGAAACTTAAATTTCGCTACCACAAAAAAATACTATTTTACAGAGCGGAGCAAGTTGGCATCTCTGCATTAGTAGTCTCAAACCCAAAACAGGGTCGGACGGTCTTTTTTTTTTAGATATGAATAATATGAAATGTAAGTCATAGTGGTAGTTTTGATTCTTTTTTTACATCCGTCGTTGAACAGTTGATCCAATTTTGGGTTTACAACTACTAATGTTAAACTGCGCAGCCTTGCAATTTTGAAACAATCCAGAAGACAAGGAAACTCCTGGATCAGTACACCCAGAGGTATTTATTTGTTATGGGAACCTGGAAGACTTTGCGACTCAACAGATTCAACGTGCATCAGTCATCATTTACGGCATGGGGAGTCTTCGGCCACGAACCCTTGGACATGGGCCCTACCAACCAGGGTATCCTGGCCTAAAAGTTATGCCAACGCA